ATATTATATCTGTATCTCTATCGAGCATAAATCTTGGGCTACCGACGCTCATGTTAATAACTAAATACTAGCTGATTTATTACATACCAGCTGTTGCTCGAGACTTCGTCTGTTAAAATAGTGAAAATGTAGCCCTTGTTAAAGTGAAAATGTAGCTTTTTTAAAGGTGCAGGAAATATTAAAATCGGCCCAGTAGTTTTTGAGTTTTTCAATACATAAAAACAAATAAATCTTTTCTCTTTATAATATTAGTCATAAACATCGTCGTCAATTTGCCCTTATACCTAACGGAGGGTCGGCACAGTATGTGCTGCTCTTCCATACATCTCTCTTATATCAGCCGTCATATCTGAATCCACTCCTTTCTTAAAAATATCCTCTTTCATACATCCATACTTTCTTCGGTCTTTCTCTTCCTTTGTAGCCATCCACATGCATACTTAACACTTTCTGGTTTAAGTCCCCATCGTCTCGTCGCGTAATATTTGTATAGATAAATAAAAAATTTACATAATACATTGAGTATGAGATGTAAGATGTAATCTAAAGTATACATTTATCACTAAAATTTAAATCATTTAAGTTTAAATTGTTACTCAAAAGTTATAAAAAGTAAATAAATTATGTTAATTTTTTCATACTAATTTGAATATGAAACAGGATTATAATTAAATATTTTTGTTCCAGATATCATTTAAAAGCAATTGAAGCGTTATCAGATGATTTACAAGAGAATGGATCAGCGTTGATGGCTAATCTAGATCTAGTGCTCAAATGGCTGACTCTGCGGTTCTTTGACACTAACCCGTCTGTCATACTGAAGGGTTTGGAGTACTTGTCACTGGTGTTCCAGTATTTAATGGACAGTGACTATACTATGGCGGAGTATGAAGCTAATTGCTTTATACCGTATCTTGTTTTGAAGGTTTGTATTGTTGTTTTTACTTTTGTTTTTATAAGTTTAATGTTTTAAATTCCGTTTTTCATGTCTACTAAAATTAATGGTTTTATCTAGTTTTATATGAATGACAAGATTTTTTAAAATGTTTCAAACAAATATTTAAATGTTATGAAATTATTTTTATACCTATTGACTGAAAATTATAGTATATTTATATTTATAAATTATAGTATTTTTAAAAATTGTAATATTTCAGAAAACAAAATATCCCTAAGATCGGACGTACACCTTTGAATAAACTATCGTTCAACAGCTGTGCGATGGCTTAGTCAATAAAATGTCTAATGTTTGTTTAAAAACTTAAAAGTATTGTTATTTCTCTTTATATAAATGTTTACACGTTTCAATAGTAATGTTTTTTGTTATTCTCAGGTAGGAGATCCTAAAGACACAGTGCGTAACGGCGTGAAGGCTCTGTTCAAGCAGATATGTGTCGTGTATTCCGTCACCAAGCTGTTTGGATATCTCATGGAAGGACTTAAATCTAAAAACGCAAGGCAACGAGCGGGTAAGTTTTTTTTTTGATAAATTTTATATATAGCAATATTGAAAGATGTTAGACAATGTTTATGATTTAAAGGAATTTTGTAAATTCCAGTTTTATCATCCTTTCCTGATTAAATTAAAATATTTTGGTTACAATTTTTCAAAAGTGATGTATAGAATTAACAATATTAATAAATTTCTGCGCAAAAAACCTTACACAAATTGCCATAAATTTTGTGTAACATCTATTCTTCTCTCATTATGTTTCGTATAGATTATAAAAATTGTACTGAATGTTGTTGTCACAAGAGTTAAACACTTCTTGACTTGTACTTAACAGGTGTAGGGTTCGAATCCCACCATATAATGCAGGTATGGGCAACCTTTGACACGTTAAGGGCCAAACTTTAGCGTGCCAATGCATCAAAGGATATGATGTTTGCTGCCTCATTGTTACTTCATGAGTATAAGTACCTAATGTATTTTTTTATGGGTTTTTCAAAATATCTCGCGGACCGTATCATATCTTATAGTGTGCCGGTTGTTGCCCATATATGATGTAGTGTATAACATAGGTTATATTTTTAAATTTGACGCGGACGAAGTCGCGAGCTACAGCTAGTTTGGATAGAGGTCAGTGGGGTCGTATAAAATGGATGTTTCCAGAATGTCTGGAGTGCATCGGGCACCTGCTGGAGACGTACGGGTCGACGGTGATGTCGGGCGGCGGCGGCGCGGCGCTGCGCGAGCTGGCGCGCCACATCGGCGACAGGGACAACGCGGTGCGCTCCGCCGCCCTCAACTGCGTCGCCAACGCCTACTTCCTGGAGGGGGAGAAGGTCTACAAGATGATCGGACAGGTACTAAACAATTTTTGGAAACGAAAACCACTTTGTCTCTTCATGGAACATGTACATGTACAGTCAGATCCTTTCGCGGTGTACCACTTTTAAAAAGGTATATTATTAGAAATTTTAATAAAATATTTAAATGTAATCAATAAGGTAGCAAATGATGGATATAATTAATCATTTTATTTTATTTACTTATTATATGAAAGAATTACAGCAAACTAGTTAATCAGAGCCAATGACAAGTATTGGCTTCAAATAATACCAAGCTATCTTTTCCATACCGATAGTAAAAATTGAGAGATTAAAGTTGAGGTTTTTTTTTTAATTTAAGCAATAGTAATCTTCCAAACTGAATTAAATGCCACCCATAGAAATAAAAAAATTAAAACATATAAGTTTTACTTGTATCATATCAACACTAGTTTTTGCCCCCGACTCCGTCTGCGTAAAATATATTAAATAAATGAAAAAATATAGCCTAAGTTACTCACAGAAATTTTACCTTTCTAACGGTGAAAGACTTTTTAAAATCGGTCCAGTAGTTTTTAAGCCTATTCATAACAATCAAACAATGTTTTATAATATTTGTATAGATGTTAAAACTTTAAATTATGCATAGTATCAAAAGATATTGAAATAAACAAGTGTCTAATTGGTTTAAAAGCTTGAGTTTTCTTTATAGATGTGTTTATAGTAATTAGCTGCAGTATCATTAAGAGCACGTGGTACAGATTAAGTCACGTGAGCGTCGTAATATTCAATTACAGACAGTTAATCACAGATCATTGAATAATTAGATTATATCCAGCTTATGTTCTTATTCGAAAATAGTCGCTTCAACCTGAAGCCTTAGTTATGACTGACGCGTGTTCAGTCAAGGACGGCATTAAACTTGTCTAGTACTTATCTTAATATTTTTAATAAACTATTTTGTAAACAAAGGATGATCCTTCGAGATCAGACTGCTGCTATGAGACGAAAATAACTCTTGATGTACTTACAACTTGTTAGAAGTTGTTAATTGGTCACTAAGTGTGAAGCTGAGTGTACCTTAACTAAAGGACTCGTTAGTGACTTAAATTATTCTGAGAACCATATTAAGACTGGTTCGCATACGTCATTGAAGTTTACTATTAACTTAATACTTATTTTAATACTGTCAATTTTTTTTTCTGCTAATATTAACAAAAGAGATATTTATTATTTCAACGTATATTGCGGATGTAAACCTCTATGTTTACAAATTAATCGAATATTTACACTAACAATAACGAAAACAAGCAGATTGACGTCATTCTGTATTGATTACTGCAGTTGCGTAAGCGCATTCGTAAATACTCAGTGTTTTTATATGAGAAATGTGTATTTTTAAAGTCGAGTTGTAAGATATGTTTATGTACTAAATATTCAGTAATCAATACTTCTGTGTTTACCGATTCGTTTATTAGTGTGGTGGCTAAATTAATCTCAAATGTGTTCTCTCGGAAAATAAGATAAGACATGTATTCTCTTATAAAAAAATCACTTGTTAAGAAAGGTTGAAAAAACATATAAATACAATTTTTTTGTTGTTTAGATATTGAAATAACTAGTTTATATCTTATCATATTTTTAGAATTATAATTTACAATGTCACCATATCCTTGGATTTATCAATACATTGATCCTTATGTTTTTAATATAATTATATGTTATCGACAGATATGCATTATCTTGAGTATTGACATATAGTTACATACAGTATTCTGTTACATTCTAGTTGATATTTAAATAAAAATGAGTGAACCTTTAATATAATAATTGGTTATAAAATAGTGAAGAAATTATACTCAAGGAAAAATGTCAAAAATCCCAATACGAATACCGTTTGAATTACAGATATCGGATAAAGATCTCTCATTGCTAGAAGAGAGGATAAAAAGAGCAAGCAAGAGTAAGAGTGCGGAAGCAAGAAGATCAATGGTTGTGCCATTGTCTGCCAGCGGGAAACCAATACAGCCTATGCCAGAGGTTAGTGACACAAAGTTTGTTCAGTTAAAACTGTCTATGTGTAGGCAACACTTTAACAACCCCACAAGCAACGCGGTATAAAGTTAAACTTGGGAATAAACTGATTATAAGCAAAATTTGTACTTATATTTACTTATACTCAGCTTATTCCTAACATTAACTTTATACCGCGTTTTTAAGGATAGTATATAATTTTACTTTCAATTTTGCCTTCACATGCACATTTTTAATTGAATAGTATCAGTTAAATAATAATGTTTGTAGCGGGCCTTAACCAAGTGTCTTCAGATATGTTAAATAGTACTTGTGTCATTTCAATTTCCCAGCTGAATTATGTAAATTACGTTAAAAATCCGTAACTATACGATATGTATGTCAATAATGTGGATTACATTTACTTTGAGAGAAAAAGTGTTTGACCGAAAATTAACGAGTAAAATGTACTTTACATTTAAATACATTTTTTGTAGGATCGTTTTGTAATAACATGATTGAATATTCGTTCAGGAGGAGCCTCCGCGGCGTGTGATCACAGTGGACACGGTGCCTGCGGCTGAGAGTGAGGAGGAAGACGTTGAGGAACAGCCACCTCCACCTGTCTCACAACCGTAAATATACATTTTATAATAATTTACATGTGTACTTTTATCTCATCTCAATTATTGAAACATACGCTAAAATATATCGCTTATCGTCATAAGCATAAGTACTACGTCTAGTACACTAGATTCCAACCAATTACTAAAATGTACTTACTGCGTTGGCGCAGTGATAAAAAGTGGATCTTGGCCTCCGACACGAGAGAGCGCCAACGTCGTCTGCCCTACGTTGTCGCCTGCCAGTCGATCGACTCTTTATTATTACTAAAATGTGACTTGCCATTACTCATAGTTCCTGAAGCTTAAAAATACTTAGTTTTATGTTAAATGCTTTATAATAACTAATCCGGTGTTAGAATAAAAATCTGTATAAGAAAATTGTTTCAAATTATTAAGCTATTTTATTTAATTACATTTTTTTCTACCTAATTACTATGTCATGTTTGTTGTGTTGTGTTGATGAAATGTTATTTTTTTTATTTTAAATAAATTGTTTTGAAGTATGTAACAAACATTTGTTAAATAAAGTTAACCGTTTGCCCACAGTGTAGTACCAACCCCGCGCGTCATACCGGGCCCGTTCGGCTTAGACCCAGAATTAATCGCAAAGTTGGATGCCTCAGTGCCTACGCCCAGGAAAGTTGACATACCACAAGTTGACCTCAAGTTCTTAGATGAACCAGTACCAGTGCCCCCGTATCTGCAGAGAAGCAGGTATGTTTATATAGTTTTATTATTTAAGTTGGTACTTACTAAGAAAGACATTTTAATCTCCAACTAAAGAAAGTTGAATATTTATTTCATTTGACATTTGTTGAAAATAGTATTGATACAATAAATCAAAATAATGCAAATACATTTTTAACTAGTAATGTTTACCTATAAGTAATGTTCCCAATTTATTATGTGTATCATTATAGTCAAACAAGGGTGGACTAATTCCCGGGTTAAATTATTTCAATCAAGATCTAAACTCAACTGGGAAATGTTAATGTAAAGCAGTGGTTTCCAGTGTGTGTCTCTTTTCTAGTTGTAATACAGCGGTAATTTCAATGGCTATACTGGAATAATATGTACTAGGTATACAGTTTTCCATATTATAATAATAAAACATGATTATTTACAGTATGGTGCCGATGTGTGCTCCGCAACACATGCCGTCGTACCCGGTTGTGCACGCGCAGCCCGCGCCCGCCGCGCCGCACGCGCCGCACGCGCCCCAGCTAGTCGACGACTCGCAGATCGCTGATATCATACACTCTATCGCCAGTCCTGATCTTAATGTAAGTCTTTCTTACTAATATTATAAATGCGGAAGTTTAGATGGATGGATGTTTGTTAAGAGTTTGCAGCCTTAACGGCTGAACCGATTTCAATAAAATTTAGAATAGATGTAGATGATAATCTGGAAGAACAAATAGGCTACTCACTTTTGTTTTTTTATATTCCACGCTGATGGAGTCGTGGGCGAAAGCTAGTATTTATATATTACGTTAAAAAAAAACTAAATAACCTTCATATTAGGGTATAAAATAGTGTTTTCACTTATGCAAATTTTAAATTAAATTAACAATACAAACACTGTTTGGGTGGAATGAAATAAGTAGCCAATGTGTTCTTCAGATTATTCTCATTTATGTCAAATTTCATCGAGAGCTATTCAGCAGCTTTAGCACCTATCTCTGACATCCATACATCTAAACTTTCGGACTCGCAGTAAGAGTGTTTTGTTATTTCCATAAAACAGTGTTGTTTCTATATTAAATACATTTTGTTTATATTTTCAGCGATTTCTCAAATTGAATCCTTGTGCAAAATGAAATTTTTCTACTTAGTCCAACTCTATTTATCTAATTTCATAATGTTTGTTATGTATAATATTGAATTCT